AGATCTTCCAGCATGATTCTATGATTGACTTCCACTGGAAACTAATATAGAATCAAACTGAAGGACATAGGCTTTCCTAGAGAAGTGCTGTCTCTAGAAATTTTTAGGTCCTTCAGCATGATCAGAGGAAGCTGATTATATACTCATAATGGAGGACCTAGAGATTCCAAAAGAATGTTTTAATCAAATCTGTGAATAATTAAATCCGCATAAGTAAAAACTGCATATGTGGAGGGACAACTGTACATGTTCATTAGTCTTCCTTGCTTCCTATGATCAGCGTGAGGGGAAATGCTGTCATCACTAGTGTTGAAGTAAGATCCAGCTGCCAGTCCAGTTGGCGTCTGTAGATATTGAGGTGGATGGTAGGATATATATGGTATGAACTCAGTACCCAGTTTTACTTTTGCATGTTCCAAAAATCCCTCCATTGTGGGCCTCTCTAGGTCCTCCAGAGGTATTATTTGGTGTGTTTCCAGTTTAAGTATATTCAAAATACAGCACTCCATTTTATCCACAATTTCAGGTATCCACATTATCCACAATCCAAGGTATTTCTTTTTTTGGGTACTCTTAGGTACTCTTGGTATGTATATCTCATGGCTACTGGCATTTCAATGTATTGCAATGCACCATGCGTGGTAAAGCTCAACATATATCCTAAAATATGAACCATGGGAAAAACATCAAAGTGATGAAGCTAGTTTAAGGAAATGTTTGTTGCATTATCTCCAAGGAATGACACATGACATTTAATTTATTTTCAACAGGGCTTACTTCAAATATACAGAGGATTATAGCTATAGTGATTATGTTGGATTAGCGCAGAAAAATCTCCGCTGGCCTGTAAAGTATCCCAGATATTTCTAGATACATATTGTAGTGGCAGATGAGCATCAAGTATTTTCCAACTCAATCTTTTCCATTTTCTCTGCTCAACAATATTTAGCAGCAGACATTGCTAGAAAATCATATATGGTGTAGTCGTTCCTAGAATTAGGGAGTTCCACGTTCAAATTCCTACTCAGCCATGAAACACAAAGAGTGAGACACAGTGGTGTGCTAGACATTCTCTCAGGGACCTTCCACACAGCCCTATATCCCAGAATATCAAGACAGAAAATCCCACAGTATCTGCTTTGAATTGGGTTGTCAGATAATGTGGGGATTTCTGCCTTGATATTCTGGGATATAGGGCTGTGTGGATGGGCCTCAAGGTACTCAATATAGTAGTGGAGACTAAAAAGGGGAAGGAATGTAGAACTGGCTGTAGCTCTCAATTTCCTTGAGAGGAGGAGTAGGATATAAAATGGAATCCATTGTCCAATATACCGATATTTGATTTTCCTGTAATCAAGCCAATATTGATAGCACTGTAGCATTCAGCAGTCCTCAACCTAGGGCCCTTGCAGACAGGCTCTATATCCCAGGATCTGATCCCAAGTTTTCTGTTTATCCCAGATTATCTGGCAGTGTAGAGCCCCCGGTGGCACAGTGGGTTAAACCCCTGTGCCGGCAGGACTGAAGACCGACAGGTCGCAGGTTCGAATCCGGGGAGAGGCGGATGAGCTCCCTCTATCAGCTCCAGCTCCTCATGCGGGGACATGAGAGAAGCCTCTCACAAGAATGATAAAAAAAATCAAAATCATTCGGATGTCCCCTGGGCAACGCCCTTGCAGACGGCCAATTCTCTCACACCAGAAGTGACTTGCAGTTTCTCAAGTCACTCCTGACACGACAAAAAAAAAAATCTGGCAGTGGGAGCCATATAATCTAATTTAAAGCAGAAAACCCGGGACCAGACTCTAGAATATAGGGCGTGTCTGGAAGGGCCCCTAGAGCAACAAACTGTCAAATTACAATCAGTTTGTAGGTTATCCATCAAAGCCTATTTTCTTACATTGTGATACTACTACTTGTGTCAGCATTCCTGAATTTTGCAAGTTACGTTTTCTAACTACACCAAGAAATATCCAGTTAGTATATGCCACTGGGGGATTCTTGGAGGTGTAGTCCCTCAAAATAACCCCCCCCCCCCCAAGTTCTGATAGGGATGAGTAACTTGCTCTGCACTAATTGGGATTTGTAAAGATTGCTGCCAGCTACTGTAGGACAATCTTTGAACTGGAATCTTTAAGGCATTGGACTGATTTCTGCTGAGTGAGGTTTTACTTTTGAAGTATATTTTCTTTCTTCCTAAAACAGATGAACTATCCTACTTCAAGTGCCAGCTAGTAAAAAACGACCAAGTTATCTTAAAATATCAGGAAATATAGCGGGTGGTTAGTGGTTGAGAAGAGACCAGCTTTGCAAAACAGTAACACAAGTGGGCTTTTATATGCATTTAGCTTACGCCATGCAGTTTGGAAAGCAGCACAAGCTGAAAGAGATTTGCTCTTTGGATTGTAGAAAAGCAGCCCAAGTTTGTCTCGGCTGACTGAAATGCCTCCACAGCAGGCCAAGATATCCAGGGCTTTCTTCATAAAGCAACATGCCATTGTGCGGCTGTTTCATTGCCTTTCCGAGGGCTCTGGAGCATTAAGACAATTTCCTTAGTTCTAAAGCGGAGCCAAGCCTGAACAGGAAGCTGCTTTACGCAAAGGGAGGGCGCCTCTTAAAAATAAGGTCTTGCTATTCCCAGACCTCCTAAAGTACAAATCAGACCAAGTGTCATTTATGAGTTGCTTCGACCGAAAATCTGAAAGTCCCTCTCCAAACAGAAAAGAGGCAAAGCAGCAACTTAGCCCAGTTTTTCGTCAGTAAACTGTGCCCTTTCAGCAAAAGCACCTGGTTTACATCACTGCTGGACATGGTGATTGTTTGCAGATGTGGGACATGTGGATATTTCACAATAACTCAGTCCAAATAAAGTACACATTGGCCAGCTATGCCATTTCACTGTGAGAACTAAAAGACAACACATGCATATATTGCACTGGAGACAATACGATGGGATGGGAGCATTCAACTACAGTTGAACGGCAGATGTGTTATAAGTATCCTGTGATACACATCTATATGGGAGTAATGCTTTCATGTCAACATAAAAGATCCCACAATAGTAAACTAATAGTAAGGACACAATTCCATTCCAAACAGTTTTCTCAGCAGGAATGGAGGAGGATAAAGGAGCCTGAGAAGGCATAATTGGCTTTGCTATAATAGGTTACCCTGACTACTCTGTGGAGAGACACCTCCAAAGAGCTTACAAGCAGTATATGAAGGCATTGGTTACTTGGTGCCAGAGTGGAGAACCTTTGTTAGTTCTGATGTTTCAGCTACAACTTTTAGAATCAAAGTTGGAAAAGACCACAAGTATCATCCAGTCTAATCCCTTGCCATGCAGGCAAAAACAATCAAAGTACTTCTGACTGATGAGCATTCAACCACTGTTGAGAAATATCTGAAGAAGACTTTCCACAATTCCTTGATATTTACTGTGTTGGTTGGTTGGGCTGTGGGGACTTCTAGTCCCAAACATCTGGAGAGCCAAGGTCTTCTCATCATTGAATCTGTTTTCTACAAATACTTGCCTTGCCTCCTAACACATGTATATGTCTCTCTAAAAACTCTTAAATGTTGACCATGTCTAACCCATTCTGTAATACTAGGTTAATAGCCAGTCACTCTACAGACAGCAGCACCAGCAGAACTAATTTAGATCCACCATGTACACGTTGTATAGATTAATCCGGACCAACCATCCCATTTTCACATATCTTTTGTTCACTAAGGAACCAGGCAGCATTATAAAAAGGGGGGGTGTATGGTTCCAACTACCAAGGAATATATGAAATTGCCTTATATTGAGCCCATTTACTTTGGCGTAGTCTTTGGGGCCATGGTGGCACAGCGGATTAAACTGCTAAGTTTCAGAACTTGTTGACCGGAAGGTTGCCAGTTTGAATCCACAAGGTCAGGGTGAGCTTCCATTGTTAGCCCCAGCTTCTGCCAACCTAGGAGTTTGAAAACATGCAAATGTGAGATCAGTAGGTACCGCTTTGGCGGGAAGGTAATGGTGCTCCATGCAGTCATGACGGCCACGTGACCTTGGAGGCATCTACGGACAACGCTGGCTCTTCGGCTTAGAAATGGAGATGAGCACCACTCCCCAGAGTCGGATAAAAGTAGACTTAATGCCAAGGGGAAACATTTACTTTTACCTATGAAGACCTAGCAGAAAGCTTATAGGTTTTCCGACAAATCAATCCTGGATGTGTCAGAGACTGAAACTGGTATCATTTGCATGGATAACTTGTGTTCCAACCCAGGGCTATGCCTTCTTGCATAGAGAAGAGCCTAGCCGAATAAAATCATGCACCAACACAGTACCTTGTGTATGGCCAAGGACTAAGGCTTCAAATTCAATGCATCTATGCATTATGTTCCTCACACCTAGTCTAATGAAGTGGTTTTATTATAATTGGTATGAGGAGCCCCCGCTGGTGCAATGGATTAAACCCTTGTGCCAGCAGGAGGTTTGAATCCGGGGAGAGTGAGGATAGGCTCCCTCTCAGCTCCAGCTCCTCATGTGGGGATATGAGAGAAGCCTCCCACAAGAATGGTAAAACAGCAAAACATCCGGGCATTCCCTTACAGACAGCTAATTCTCTCACACTAGAAACATCTTGCAGTTTCTCAAGTTGCTCCTGGCACTATATATAAAATTGGCTGACAGAGCCAACGGTCCAGGCACATTGTAACAGTGGCAAACCATTGGACCATGTGAAGCAAACTTATCTGGGAAAACAGTTACATCAGTGGTGTTGCATTGCTCACAGCAAGTCTGTTTTTCTAGGAGGCATTATTAAAGCATTCAAAGCTGCAGTTCTTCCTATAAACACGAAAATAATTTCTAATTCAATCAAAACATATATAAGAAAAAGAGCTGCCTTCGGAGTGAAAGCTTAGCACTTTTAGGACTTTCCTTACCTAAAGTGGGAAGGGGAAACAGTTGTTTCATATTCCTTGTCAAAGTTCAATTACGTGAGAGAGCAGAGTTTTAGAAAGTACCAGTTTATTTTATCAAATCAGTGACAGTGAAAACAAAAGCAACTATACAAGAAATATAATCCAAGCAATCAGAGGCAGACATGGGATTCATGTTTTCCAAGCAATAGTTATAGAAAAGTGTTAAGTACATACTCCTCCCCGGTCCTCCATGCCAAACTAAACAGTTCCAGAAGCAAAGTTTTAAAGGACTTGTGCTTATACCAGAGTGGAATCTTTTCCACAGACATAACTTTACCCATATGTTCACTGTAGCAATCCCAGAAGGATGTGATAAAAATCACAATATGAATTCATTCTCAAACGAAAAACTGGAAGACCGATTATATGGTGCTCTGAGTACTGGTAAAGAGCACTGATGGACCTTTTATTAACACGAGGGCAAGGAACTCATGTGTTAAGACTATTTAAGGTTTTCAGAAGCTACAGCTCAAAAGCTGCAAACAGATAAAAGTGCAAGGTTATGTCAGGTTCTGTGTGATTACAGATGGCTTGTGCAATGCTGTTCTTATTCCCATACATGGCAAGATAAATACAACGCATTCACATGCTCTGTTGTATGGGCAATTCCCTTCAAAAAGAAAAAAGAAATTGGGAAGGATGAGACATCAATGCTGGTGCAACCTGATTACATCAAAGAACTAGTGGGGACCTTTTGAGATAACTGAAATTAACAAATATACACAAACTGATCGTCTAATACTGCACTAAAGCAGGATTTTGAATGATAGTCTCATAAAAGCACTGAGCTGCATCCACACTCTATGAATGAGGACTTGAACTCAGATCTCATGTACCAGTTTTACACTTCCCGCTGTCTTTTTATGCAGCACCATTAATGTAATTATGTACTATTCTGATATAGTCATGGATGAATAAAGATCCCTCCCCTGAATATGCCAATATTGCATATCGAATACAGCCAGCTGGTTCTTTTGGGAGGGACTGATACCAAAAGACAACTTCTCCAGAAGAGAAAGAGGAACATGATATTCAGAATTCTGAAAGCTTATGGTTCTAAAGCTAGAACGAGGACTTGCTAGAGTACCAGAGTCTCTATGTGTTTGCCTAAAAATGGCAAGACAACTTCAGAGAAAAGTCACTGTTCGTACCAGGTGCTTTCAAAGGATGTTCTCTGGGTTACCCCCTGAGCTGGCCAGAAGAGCTACAGCTGGAAAGCAGCTAAACAAAGCATGCTACCACACTGCACCCAAGTTCCGGGTAGGTGAACTCAACCTCTGTTTGCAGGAAAGCCAAGGGCAAAAGCTTAGACCTCAACTCACCTAGCTGACTTACTCAGGTGCCAACAGTTAGCACTAAATGAGGACTCCATTAAGAATATGAAGACATTAAAGTACCGGTAACTCCCCAAGTCAAAGCAGGTAACCCATCACCCATGTAAGAAGGCTGCACAAAATCCATTCCAGTATGTTTATAAAAATTGTGCACTTTACTGAAAAAATAAAGCTCTATAGCACTGATAATATATTACAAAGCTAAAAAAACATTCCCCCTTCCCCCCTTATATTTTAGTCATGTTCAAAGAAATCTGATTTTTTTTGCATATAAACATTAATTCTAGCAGAGGTTATTGCTTTAAGGGTATAATACAAAGAATAAAGCTTAAATAGTTTTCACAATCATTAGGAGGTTTCATTATATTAGTGTTTTACATATAAAAAAGAAGAGTTACCAAAAAACGGAGCAGCCATCTTAGAAACTATAAATAGTTCTATTTTTTTTTTAAAAAATCAAACACATCTTTGCTTTTTATTCTGGAAAAAACATAAATATTTTCTTCTCAGATCTCTAAAGTAACCTATGATATGAGCTTAGAAAGCTGTAACACACTGTAATTGCTGTTGGAGTTCAGGCAATAATGGGTGATACGAAATGCCAGTCATCTACGGAGAAGCCCAACAAGAGGAAACAAGGAATTAAAAATTCAGCCTTATGAGAAAAACATAAATGTAGGACTCTTTCCTAGAAACTCGTATAGGCAGGCTATGTTTCAGTTTGATTTTAAAAAGAGGGTTTCATCATTCAAACAATAAAAATATGTGTCTTCAATTAAAACTCCATGTGACTATGGGAGAGCTTCTCCCAGCAATGTTTTGCTTTTGGAGGCTACCGAGCTCCTTTCCACAAAAGAAGCAATCCATTGCATGTAGCCATTTCTCATACTAAGACACAAATTTAGATAGTGATGCTAAGCTCCACAGAGCTTCTAAGACTGATTTACACTGTAGTGTAGGACATTTCACAAATAAGCTCCTAATTAAAAAAGAAACATGACTTCCATTGGCTGACCTGCTAAAGGACAAGCTTACAGTCAAGAGTTTAAACCTTCTACAAAACAAGGCAAGTTGAAGCACTATAACCGGATGCAAATGTATAACCCTCCTCCCCTCTATTCAACCAAATATATAATTTGGCAAGTTTGCTTTGCGTTTTAGAACACAGGCATACCCCCACATGGGCTCCCTTCCACAACTATGCCTTTTTACTCCGCATCCTCATTAGTTATTGGGAAGGGTCACAAAGGAAGATTTTTTAAAAATCATTTTGACATTCAATCCAAGAGTGCATTTGTTTCAGAGCTTTTTTTTGTCCATGGTCCAAATGCTTAAAAAACAACAACCAAAAAACAAGAGGAAAAAAACAAACAAAGTACGCTTCTGACTCCCAAGTGGATTATTGTGGCGTTGGCAAGCCTTAGGCATAGAATTCATTTGTAGGCGCTTTCTTGTAGATTGGTTTCTTGCCAAGGTCATAACTGCCCTCGTCCTTTTTCTTCATGCGATAAACCAGGAGAAGAATCAGGAAGACGGCAAACAACAACCCAACTGCTCCACCTGCAATGAGAGCTGGAAGGAGAGTGAGGAAGTTAATACCAAGTAAACACTCTGGAAACAGAAGCACTTTGCACATAATTCCAGCACATCTCAAGCCCTTCCACTTCAGTGTTCTACTGCTAACTTGGCAATAACTACTGGAGCAATTTTCTGTCTAACTGTAATTCTGATTCATACTCTCTATTAAATATTGTCTAACGACATAAAACAAGCCTTTCTTCTTGAAGAAAGCAGGAAAGCAGTTTTAACACCTGTGGCTAACCACGGACAAGATCTAATTATTGAATTTCAAGTTTCATTTCTAGGGTTGGGACTAGAGTTAGAAAGCAAGTGAGAAATGTTGCCTTGTTTTTCAGACAGACGTTAGCATTACTAGACATTGGCAGAGATTCAGGGGTATTCTCCATGCCAGTTCCTTTTGCTTCTCCTTCTTTAAGTGAAATTTACAACAGCTCGGTAATTTCCAAACAACTTTTTAAATCAGATGGGGAAAATGTGAACCAATAGATCCTGCTGGATTGCAATATCCATTCATTCTAGTCAGCATAGCCAAAGGGAAGGGAAGGGACAGCTGACAACATCTAGAAGTTAGCACTTCCTCCTGTCTTGCTCTAGATCAATGGTTCTCAACCTTGGGTCCCCAGATGTTTTTGTTCTTCAGCTCCCAGAAATCCTAACAGCTGGTAAACTGGCTGGGATTTCTGGGAGCTGTAGGCCAAAACACCTGGGGACTCCAGGTTGAGAACCACTGCTCTAGATGAAATTCCGTCCTAAGGATTTAAGCACAGTTCCTCCATATATTTTCCAATAATTACTTCTGGCAGGAAGCCAGCATGGTGTAGAGCAGGGTTCTCAACCTGTAAGTCCCCAGATGTTTTGGCCATCAACTCCCAGAAATCCTAACAGCTGTTAAACTGGCTGGGATTTCTGGGAATTGTAGGCCAAAACAGCTGGGGACCCACAGGTTGAGACCCACTGGTGTAGAGGTTTCAGTGTTAGACCATAACTCTTGAAACCAGGATTCAAATCCTGCCTGGCTGTGGAAACCCATTGGGTGATCTTGGACAACTCAGATTCTGTCAGCCTTGGAGGGAGGCAAAGGCAAACCACACTCTGAACAAATTTTGCCAGTGAAAATGTCACCTTAGGGTTACCATAGGTTGCTGTGAAGGCCCATGGAAACAAGAACAAAGCATAAATGAAAAAAAAAACCCTAAAATTTCTAGACTAGAGGTGGTCCTTGTGAAGTTTGAGGGAAAGAGATAACTGGACCAATGGACTCATAGTTCTAGCACATTGGGGAATAACTGCAGGCTCCTTACATCAGATACATCAGATACCTGTGAAGCATTGTTCTAGATTATATTTTTGGAATGCACAGATGTAAATTCTTCCATAGTTTATAAGCAAGACATTAAGAACTTGGCAGTGAGGCAGTACATCACTTTCTGTAAACAGGATAATCAGTGTCACAATGATACTAGATACAGAGAGCCAAAGAACTTGAAAGAAAGGGGTCACATCCACTGAGACCATCATTTTGCATCCCCCTAGCTCCATGGATTGATTACAGTATCTTTGTTGTAGTTTATGTATGGACACCATAGGAAGCATAGGTTCTCCATGTGCAATTTACATGCCTATTAAGATGTGATGTGTGGGCTACACATTCTGAACCATATAATCAGTTAAAAGCAGATGTGGATTATCGGATTTGATAATTAGGATTATATGGAAGTGTAGAAGGGACCTGGGTTTCTTTGGAACTGCAAATGGATATGCTCATACAGTAAACATTAAACTTTCTTATCCTACAGTTTACAAGTTTAGCCATCCTGCTTTAACCAATAACTTGTTGCAAGGGTACCACCTTCTCTTACCACTACTGCATCTTTTGTTTTTCTATTAATGCAAACAGTATTCCTTTATATTGTGTTGTCAGTTCTCCACTATAAAGGCTCGTATATGGCCAAACAATATAACTGGACAGGGGGCAAACAGATCCCACCACTGTCCCTCCAATATAAAGAATTCACACCACTTTGGCACCAATATAACATTTGAGGAGATGTCTCTAAGTTAACTTCCACTGCCACCATAAGTATAAGTACAGGAACACTCTAGCTATTTAAAATGGTAAAAATGCTTTTTAAGACCACCAAGTATTGTGATCTCCCTATGTGTTTTCTTATTTAAAGGGAAGCAGGTGAGGTTGAAAAGGGAAAGGGACTGAATCCACAAATGTACACTTGACTCAGGCTTTTAAGGTTTTAAAAATAATCAAGTAAAGTTTATTGATAGAAGTACAGAATGAAGTGAATGCTGTTTAGTAAGCTTGGCTGTACAGATAAAATGTTCTGGTTCTTGAAAGCGTAACGGTTGCGTGAGAATGGTTCTTTCTTTGTTACAAACTACAAAACCCAGCTATTTTTTCCCTAAATAGCTGTACCCAGTTTGCCACAGCTTAATTCGCTGGCAAACTTCAGGCAAACTGCCTATTCTTAACATGAACTCCTAAAAGCTTCTGTAATCCTGCTCTAACTCTAACATCAACAGACTGACTCACTAAAAAAGCTTCTTTCTTTCCCTCCAAACAGTCTAACTCCGCCCCCCTTTAATAAACCAATCCTGGCTGCTCTAAGGCTGGCTCAGGCCTAGGCCACTCCCCCTCTCTGAAATGGAGCTTTCCCTAAACTAAAATGGCTCCTGCTGCCCTCTGCCAGGCCTTCTAAGGCTGAAACTAACTAGCCTGCCTCTCCTAGGCCCTGCCACCCAGGCTGGCAAGGTAAGGGATCTTCACATCCACCTTCCTGATAAAAGGCTTCTCTTCAAAAAATCATGATCTATTTTAATTTTACGGAATTACAAATTGACTCCTCTATTAAAAGATGATTACCTGCAAGAACTTCTGTCCTCTCAAGAATGCTGCCATTGGCTGTACTGGCCAATGAGATCTCATTGTTCAGGTCTTCTGCTCCAGGGGGTGCAGCTTTTTTTGGAACAATAATCTCATTGTCTCTCATAGGGTCAATCTTATCCTTGATCTCTGGTTTGGAATCAGGAATATAGTTGTCTTTGAATACCTGAACAAAGGGATAAGAAGAAATTTTCATTTAGAACACACTTCCGGGCAAGCCATCAAAATTAAAATACTGCAGAACTGCCAATATAAATCCAGGAAGCATTATCTCCATTTTGTTGAAAATTATCCTATTTTGGGCTCAGTACTTCTGAAAGCAATACGGCAACGCAAACCACCAAAGCTACATTTTGATAAACATTGCCACAACAAAATTAACAGCCTTGTAGTGCATGAAAATAATATGGCATGGGGTATTCTTGACAAATTCCATCATAAAGCATGTTAAAACTGGAGAGCACTATCAATAAGTTTTTGTTCTGTTGCTTAATAAACGAATACTGGGTTGGTTGGGTTGGTTTTGGTTTTGTAGACACATTTTTGAAAAAAACGAAACAGAAGTCTTTGACATATACTGCTTTGTTTATGTAAGGAATTTGCAGAAACATATATTGTAATGTTTACAAGTTTTCAAAACTTGCTTCTGGCTTCTTCCTAAAAGCAAAACAAATGTGCATGAAGACAGTAGGTCCTCAATGGCACATCATCAGCCGAATGACTACAAAGACTAAATATCATATCAAAGGCACTGTAAATACTTACTGAAGAACTGTCCGTGTTTGAGCGCAAAACATTCTCAGTATCTGAATAGCCTGTATAACAAAGAAAGAGTTACATTTAAGTAATTTCTTAAAACGAATCATAGTAAGCTGTAGCAGTTTATAGATCCATTATCTTTATCTATGTGTTCTTGACTTTTTTGGTTAGATTGCATCAAGGGACATGCAGGCATATCCCAGACGCTCCTCTTTCTCATCTCAACCACCCCTGTTTCTTTAAGTCACTGGCTCTCACGCCCATTAGCCAATTCATAACAAGTCTACACAATGTGCAGTTTGCCTTGCTTTTAAAAGGAACTGCCCTTTTTTCAAACACCTATTCCTTGAGGATAATTGGCTCACGGAAACCACCAGATCTGCCTCAACTTGCCGTGTGCTAGTTTCAAGAACTTGTTTTTCTTGAGAACACAGTGTACATGAGGGCAAGAAGTTAGATTGAATCTATGATTAAGACTCAGGAAAAAGCAAAGAGAACCACTCTCAAGAGTCCCATCTGCAAGGACTTTGGAGAGAGCCTTCTTGGTGGTTGCTCCTGGACTATGGAATTCCCTTACACACTGACCCTTCTCTGCTCTCTTTTCATTGGCAAGCAAAGATTTTCCCATTTAAACAGGCATTCAAGCCTTCACTGAGGGACATTCAATAGTGTGCTATTCTTAAAGGCATTTTTTTTCGTTTTGAGAAACTGCAAGTTGCTTCTGGTGTGAGAGAATTGGAGATTTGCAAGGAATTTGCCCAGGGGAAGACTGGATGTTTTTTTTATATGTTTTACCATCCTTGTGGGAGGCTTCTCTCATGTCCCACATGGCGAGCCGGAACTGACAAAGGGAGACTTGGCTGTTTGGTTGTGCATTTAAGTAAAGTGATCAGATCTAATTTGCCAAATAGTCACTGTTGTATGTTTTTATGTTGAATGTTTTTATATTGTATAAATGCTATTTTAAATTGTAAGTCGCTTGGAGCACCTTGGTGGAGAGCAACTAATTAAGAAATAAGTGAAGTGAAGTGAAGCTCATCCGCACTTTCCCCAGATTCGAACTTCCTAACTATAAGTCTTCAGTCCTGTCAGCACAAGGGTTTAACCCACTGTGCCCCCGGGGGCTCCTCTTAAAGGCATTGAATAGTTGTCTATATATAAAGCTGCCCTGAGTTCCCTTTCGGAGTAGAGAAAGGTGGAATATATAAATATATAAATAAATACATACATAATAACGTATCTATGCATTTCAACTATTTTTAAAAGAATAAGGTTTTAAAAGTTGTGTTTTGATGAGATTGGCTGCTTAATTGTTTCAGTTTTTTTTAAAAAAACTTCATATTGTAAGCTACTTTGAATCTCTTGTTGGGAAAAAAATGAGATACAAATCAAATAAATATATAAATAATCTCATAGTCTTGGGATAAGGAAAGAGTGTGAGCTGTCAAGGCCCTTGCATCTAGTTGTATTGAAACCACTAGTCTTCAACTACAAGATAGCAAATTTCCCCCTTACAAGGATGGGCAACTATAGCTCTCCAGAAGATTTTACAATTCACATTATCTATAGGCAATGGTGAGGGATTAGGAGTTTCAGATCATCAAAAATCTAGTAAGAAGTTGCCTACATTCGCTTCTTGTATACAATACAGAAATCCTTTCTTTTACTGCTGTATTTGTGTGAAAGCAGGCCATTTAGAAGTGAAATAAGTCAGTCACTTAAACCAGACACCTCAATAGGCATTCTGATTTGTAGAAAAAGGCAAAGGAGCAACTCTTCCTGGCTTTCTGCATTCATACAACTTCAGACCCAAAATCAAGGAATTCAAACTCAAGTCCACATCATGTGATACTCAGGAAACTAAACAGGAACGCAATGGAAATTATCAGAGAAATGGCAACAAAGTGACCAGCTGTAGTCTAGTATAACCCCAGGTAACACCACCAAATGGAAAAGCCCAACAGCAAAATATACCTTCGCTATCTCCTGAACCTGAGCTTTCGTCTTCATCATCGATGATGAAGTCAGTCCTCGAGTCCTCATCATCTGGCAAATCTCCAGAAGAAAACTCCTCAGCGTACAACTGTGGGTCCATAGTCTCTGTTTCTCTCACCTGAGAAAGGAAAAAACACAATTAGAAAGGAGCACTTTTCATAATGACATGCCAGAATAGGAATATCAGTTTAGCACACAAAAGTACTGCATATAATGGGGTATATGTTGAAAAAAATGATTAGAAATTGACTCAAAAATCTGGAGCAACTTATAAACAGGTGTGTCCACTGCAGTGCTGCTTTTTTGTAACACCTCGTTGAAAAAAAATGGTGATGGCAGGAGCACTTTGATGCTTCCCCATCACAGTGGAGAGAATAGAGGGGTGAGTACTTCTTTTAGGTTACTGGGACAAAGTACCTTCAATTCTGGACTCAAGCCCCTGCCCCTGCCCCTACTTTGCTCTGGCTTCCTCCCACATCACCATCTGCTGCTTCTGCAGGTGCTTCTCCCATTACCCTGTTCTTGCTTTCTCCATCTCTGATGGCATGGTCCTCCATCTTGGCTACCGGGCTGCCATTGAGGCTGAAAGGCTGCTCTTGAGCCTGCCATGGCCATACTGCCACCCAGGATCCAGAGAAGAGAGCATGCTACCTTTGCCACAGCCAGTGAAAAACCTAATCACGAGTGTGAGGTCTGAATGGCTGAGGAGGGTATGTTGGCAGTGTCTACAGCAGGAGGAATAGCTGCAATTGGAGGCAGTTTGGGGGCGGGGGAAGGACTTCCATTTACTTACTCATGAGTGAACAGCCCCCTCCCCACTCTGAATAGCCCCAAACAGATGGAGATTAGTCTGTTCCAGGGATGAGGGGAAGAGCCGCAAAGACAAAAGTAAAGCAGCAGAAGTAATAAATACTACTGCTGTTTTTTGAATGCCTGGGCAGAAATGTGGCAATAGTTAGAGGTAGTCGACCAACAAAAGTGGCACTGACACCTTCTCCTCTCTATAGAATGACCCCTGACGGATCCATAAAAGTAAAGGTAAAGGTTTCCCCTTGACATTAACTCTAGTCGAGCCTGACTCTGGGGAGTATGCTCATTCCATTTCTAAGCCAAAGCGTTTGTCTGTAGACCTCCAAGGTCATGTGGCCAGCATGACTGCATGGAGTGCCGTTACCGTCCCACCAGAGTGGATTGATTTATCTACATTTGCATGTTTTCAACTGCTAGGTTGGCAGAAGCTGGGGCTAACGGTGGGAGCTCACCGCTCCCCGGATTCGAACCACCAACCTTTCAGTCAGCAAGTTCAGCAGCTCAGCAGTTTAGCCCACTGCGCCCCCAGGGACTCCATATCATATCAAAATCCATAATTTTGGCCACAAAATCTACCCTAGACTTACACAAAGTCAACTTATATCTGAGTACATACAGTAATATAAAAGTTGGGCCAGCAAGAAAGGGTATTTCATTTACTGCATGGCTCTTCCACCCATGCCTTTTGTCCATCCATTTCTGCAACTTTCTCTTAGGCAAAAGCAAATTATCTGCTCCTAGGGTCAACTCTTAAAGAGATTGGGTCCATTCCAATACAGAAAACAGCAATAGTAACCATCTTCCACACAGGTCTATGTTGTTCATGAGCACTGCTTATGTGTCAAGCCAGCCATATTTAAAGTGGCATTGTTTGCTTCTATAAAACTTCAGAACTCAAATACCACTCTCATGGAAGAATTAGAACTGATAAATTTGTTTGTTTTCACCATCTGAAAATTCTGCTGACACAGGATCAAAGGGTTTGAGGGGTAATAAATACTAATGCACATGAATTAGGTGCGCAAACAAGAAAATACAATTTAAAAAGCAAACTCAGCAGCTGCCCTTTTGAAATAAAAAGAGACCTCAATGCTGGGACCGAATACAGCCACAGATATGGCATTAGCACAGCAACAGCAGTAACAGATAAGCCACTGCACAATACATAAAAGCCAAAGTGACTTTGCTGAGGTTCAGATGTCAAACGGCATGATTTTATCAGAACCCAGTTACCCCATGCCTTTGAAGAACCACAGCCGAACTGTGAGGCTGTTCTAAGGGAAGACAGCCTCCCCACAGTTCACTTCCTTTGGGTGATAAAAGGAGCAGCATGATAAGCTGGATCTACAGGTAACTCAATTCCAGAATCATGAGGTTATTTGTTGATTTTGGAACTTAACTTTTGTGTTTGCACCTGGGAGCACGAATTTCATCCAACTGGAGCAAGGAGCTTGAATTCCCCTGTTTCAAAATATCTTTATGCACCAACAACAGCAACTAGCTACTAATGGTAACTTTTTATGAACATAAAAGAAAATCACACACACCAGATCCATGCAGAAAAAAACTGAGGACCAGAATTATTATAAGAACATATGTAATAAAGTAAGAATTCAAAGGAACACATCCTTAACTGATGACAGCAGTGGTCAGATGAGTCAAGGGCACTAATAAAAAGAGATCATATTGAGGACTGAGTGGAAAAGGTCCTTCTGGTAAGCCCTTCATCTCAAGGACCATGAGCTGTACTTTGGAAGATCAAAGTTGTCTGACACATGTTAGATACTAGGCATGGGCAATCCATGCTTCTAAATGGTACTAAAGTACCTATAAAACTAAAGGGAGCTGGTGCTTTGCTTCAATAGTATTGCTAAAATTCTGGTGATGAAAATTTCAGAACTCTTAACAAAACTTCCAACATTTCATTATTATTTCGTTATTGGTGATTTTTATGACAGAACCAAACAGGAACTGCTATTAATAACAAAATTTTGAAAGTTTAGTTGAGTTCTGAAATTTCTACCACCAGAACTTTATTACAAAGCATCAGTGCCCTCTAGTTTTGTAAGTACTTTAGAACCATTTAGAAACATGGATTGCCCATGCTTATTAGATACACACAGGCTGCCTTAGAATCCAGTCAATTACTGAGCCAATCAATCAGATGTCAGTTAGAGACATCACAACGGAAATTCCAAATAGATCAAGAGTTGTGGTGTCTTGTAGTTGACTCTAGTCACAGTAAATCCATCCCTAGACAGAACCAAATAAAATGTCTGCAAACAAGGTATATTTTGCATCCAGAATTTCTTCTTTGATAACAAAATACATGTGTGTGAATAAGCAAGGGAGGGAGAGAAAGTGACTCATGACCTCACATAATATGGCCAGCTTTTGTCCTCTTTATAGAGCAGATAGTAGTAAGCAGGTGCTGACTGCTGGGGCACACCTATATACCAACTCAGGCTGTATTCATTGTGATGAATCACTGATAGAACTTTTTCTTTGTCCCCAAGAGGCTCAAAAGGCCAAGCAGACCAAACTAAAAAAAGTACTGAAAGGAACCAGTGCATGTGTGGATTTTTTAAACCAGGATGAGATTAACAAGATGAGAGGAAGACATATACACATTCACATGTATACTTTGATTAGCTATTCTGAAATCCATTTGTAAGAATGATGACTGGGATATTTCCTGCTTATAAAGAGTTCACTGAAAAGATATAATAATGATCTGATGATCCTGTGTCACCTCCTGAGAACCTTGTTCTCCACAATCCTGTGTTGAACCAATCACTTGATCTCTGTGTGAACTACCAAGTATTCTTTAAATGTAGAATATTGACAGAGACTTTAAAAGAGCAGAACTAAGACAGGGTGCAAGGACTACATCATTCAGCCATAGGAACTTTATCAAAAGACTACCATTCATGGAACACAATACATATGGAATAGGCTTTAGAGTATCCCACTGACCCAGCACTAGACAAGTTGACTCCATCATACTCCATCGGCATGAATCCGGAGTACATTCTGAAGTTCTCCCCCAAAACAGGCCTCCATCATAGTTCCCAAGGAGAACAGGCTCTGCCATGCCCTGGGGGAGATGCAAGCCCAACCTTGTTGAGCAGTCTAATTTCTTTGCTGGCTGGAAGCACAGCCTGTTCTTTCATCCTGCATAGCACAGGTTAAGTTATCCAGGTTTGAGTTGTTATAAGTCCCTTTAAATGGAGCAGAACTCACTCGCTTTCAGCCAGAGATTGTGGAAGCGCATATGCAGTACCATGCAAGTAAGCCCCAAACACAGCTTTTAACAGTTATGTTTTTGATTACAGTTTCCAGAACTGGACATGCCAGCCAAGGGACTTTGAGAACTGTAATTTAAAAGGGTAACTCTCCCTGCCCTTGATCCAAAGTCACCACAATCCTTCTTGAACATGCATTCCATGTAGTCAGGCTTGAAATTAGCCATTTTTTCTATCCTGGCAGAATTTAAATATAATCTCTCACACTTTTTCAACTTCAGCAGAAGAGATTATAATTCTACAAAACTGTAAGATGTATGTAACAAAAGAACCCATATTCATGGCTTCACTTATCCAGGCCTGGGCAAAAATGATTCAATTGTATGCTTACATTAGAACAGTGGTTCCCAACCTTTTTTTAAATCAGGAACAACTTGACCAGGGACCACGCTCTAATATTAGTACCAAATGGGTTACGAATCAGTTTTTGGTCAACTTTAGAGTCGATTTGGTTATTTGGGGTGCTGACTCAGAAAATTGCATTGGATAGACCACATCAGCTCTAGTTTCTGATACAGAATGTATGCCATCCAGTAGTCACCATCTGCTCACCCACAGAAAACCATATTTAATAATCTTTAATATTTAATAATCTAGAGCTGATGTGGTCTACTAGAAGTTACCATACAGTCATACTGGAAAACCTAGCAAATTCCTAGAGAGATAGGAGAATGAGACCTTCCAAATGTTGCCTTTCAGAAACTTGATGGCAATTCAAACTGAGGCACCTTGATATTATTTCCACCAAATTTCAGTTATGAATTATTTTGTAAAAGAGTAAGTTCACCATAGATTTGTGCCTTTCTAGAAAACAGAAAACAATTTCTTCTGTGTGGCAGAGAAATAAACAGAAAATTTATTATTGTTATTTGGCTGAGTTTTTCAGTGAGCTAAGATCTAATGAATCCTATGTCCTACACAGACTCCATACTGTCCTACGTTTTCAACTGAATAGATGCACTAGTTCAGAATTGAAAGTGTTTCCTTTTTTTAATAAAAAGGT